TTAGCTACCATTCCACATTAGTGGTTTGTTTAGACACTCGGATAATGGTCAGGTTCCAAAGGCCAGGAATTTTGCTTCTCACCTCGAAGAGTTAGGTACAAAACTGGCATAAAATATGGGTTTATGAGAACACCGGCTTGCTCGGGACCACTCCATTTCGGCCTCTAGAAAACATAATAACCCCTATAATAAGTGTATTTAATAATGTTTTTATCATAATATCAATGGTCTTAGAAAGACTTAATGTTCCCAAGCTTTATTTAAATGTTGTAAATTGCATATATTTGCTTCATTGTGTCAAGACACGGCCGAGAAACTCAGTGAGCGAGGCTGAGTTTCCCAAATTGTGTTTAAAATCATTTCAAAAAATCCAAAAGAAGGGTAAAATTGATCTCTAATATTTTTCTATATGATTTATATGTGTTTGGAAAAGATTGCGAGTGTTTTTGGCCATAAAATTTTATTTTTCATTTTTCATTTTTAAAATGCCCCGAACTATAAATGTGTTTTTTTAAAGCCATTTATCCAATATTTTTTTCTCTTTTTTGGACTCCTTGAAGTTGTTTTTGGTTTTATTTGCTTTTAGTATATTTTATTTTCTTTTTTTATTTAAATTTATGGAGGTTTTTTCAAGAATCAGTCGAGTGGAGTAACTTGCCTCAGCTAAGGACGAGTTCTCTAGCCGAGCTGAATAATTCACCTCGGCCGGAGGACAACTTCCCTAGCCGAGGCAAGTCTTAGTGGACTGATTTGTTTCCTTTTTAATGCTTTTCTTTTTTATTTCAAAGTTGGCCGAGTCAGCCAAGCCGAGTCATCACCTCCGCAAGTTTGACAGGACTGATAGTTATCTATTGGTCCGATTCTTACAACAGTGGGAAAAAGTATTGAACGAAAACAAAGAACTTGATGTATCTATACATGTTTTGGGATCGCTACCGGATCCCCACACAATAACTCTAATTTACTAATTAACTAACACTATTAAAATGCCTAAAAACCTTTCAAATCACATTATAAAGGGCATCCAAAACTGTTACTGTCCGTATATTTTTTAATAAATCAATATACAAAGAGTTATCTGCAAATATTATGAGATTCTATGAAGTAAAACTGGCTATTAGGAGATCTTGGCGGCCATGAAATCATCTGGGTCTGCCATAAACTAAGGCCATCCTAAGGCCACACAATAGAACAAAAGTTGAAATGAAGCCCAAAACATATGAAAGAAGCTGAGGCAGGAATGCAGCTCTCAACAAAGCGGAAGAAAGATGTGAAAAATTAGGGAAAAAAAAAAATTACTGCAACGTAGAATACATATTACAGCGAGATATGCAAGGAAGTATGGCTTTAACTTGATTAAGTAGACTTGATCCTTTCTTTTCTTCTAAAAGATTGCTTTCACAAATAGTAGATCTCACCAAAGTAATGAACAGAGGAAGCTGCATGCTGGCAAAGATGGTGACTGGGAAGCACGCAAGGATGTAGACTGCAAAGACACCCCACGGCATTTTAATCGCACTGAGCATCAGAAAAATTGTTGCAGTGAAAGACACCATCATAGCAATTATTGATATAAATACACCTGCGAGGCCGAGAATTAATCTTGTTGGCAGGGCCAATCGAAAATCTTCTTCTGCATAACGGGCGGTGAGGATGTAGAGAAACATGACTGCTGAAGTTAGGGAAGTAGATAGCGCGATGACGATGGAAATGGTGAAAACCATGAAAGGAGTGTGTTGGAGTAAGTTAGGCAAGCCATTGCTGTTGATCCCCCCTGGAACTTGGAAGGCGGAGGCAAACACCATTGTGGCAATGAGCACAGAGACAACCGTGCAAGACGTCGCTGTGTCCTTCATCCATCTCTCACCCTCCTTAACTAACATTTCATGCTCCTCAGAAAACACATTGCTAGCTGTCTTACCCTCAAAATTTAAGGCATCTTGAAGTACTTCTGGTGTCAATTGTTCTATACTCTATTTCAACGACGAGTTTAAGAAAGATTAGCGCATTATAGTCTTACTGATATAATGTTTTCCAAGTAAAACTTGACATTCCCCTTTTATCTAGAATCATAGGAAGACTCCAATTACAATATATAAGGCCCTGCTATACAGTTACAATATTCAAAATCTCAAGTTTGACTCCTACTGCTGAAACATATGTATATATATATAATATATGCATACATACATACACACACATGCACATATTATAGATAGAAAAAGATTATACAATATTACAACCTTTCTTGTAGAAGTAAGGTCATAATAATTTACGCTATTTATTTTATTTCGACGGTGTAGATTTCATACAATTTTGATAATATACAAAAATACATGTGAAATCTACACCGTCCAACTGAAATAGATGGTGAGAATGATTGGTTTGATCGATTGTTACTGAAGTAGAAACAAACGACTTGTTGAAGACCAATTTGGCTGCTCTAACAGCTGTTTTAGCAGATCTAGAGCAAACTAGCCAGTAGGAAACTGTTAATTTGTTATTTTAAATTTTTATCCATTTGGCCAACTTTTATTGTTTTAGCTTTCATTTGAAAGATTTGATAATGCCTTAGCACATATCAATCTCGCAATTAATAAAATGTGAAACTCTCAAGGGATTCCAACGTTTAATCATAACAAAGATTTGACAACATAAAACTAAATTTTATTTTCAGAATATTAAAAAATTTGCTCTGTACATGGTACCTTCGATCACTCTAAGCCGGCTGGCAAAATATTATCAGTTTCCTCTGATGTTTCTGATATACATTATTTTTCTCATGTATTATGCCTTTTGTTTCTTTCCTTTTCTTCAAACGATGGTTCACTAAGTGCTAATTTTCTTTAATAAAATACAAAGTTATGAATGTATTAGTCACTTATTAAAATGAAAAGGAACAGAGCCATTATGGTCCATTATATCTGTTTTTTGAACCTGCCTCATAAAGTTTTCACTGGCGATGTCCTAAGTCCTAACCAGCAAGTGATTTCAAATGGTTCACAGAATGAAAATATGGTTAGAGAGACTAAAGCAATTAGTACCCGGAACCACTGTAACTCCCGTTGTAGTTGGAGTGCAGCACCAGCAATTGTGTTGAGTTGTTGTGACGGGGCTAATTTGGCTGAAATATGCAGGACAGTGTTGCCGAATGCATCGGTGCTTTCAATGACAGTCTCTCTCATTCTTAGCAAGTGTTTAAAGATTTCCAGTTCGCGTACTCGAACAGCAAGATGGAGCATACTCCCCCCATCTTCAACATCTGTCGACAGCATCAGCTGTGGAAATTCTTCTATAGTTTCGATAACAAAGTCATAGTTCCCGTTAAGTATGGCCACCATGACGGGAGATCTTATACACTTCTTGACCAACCTCCCATTTTTAAATTTGCGAGCAATTTTAGAATAGTTCCCAGGATCTTCTCCCCATCCTTTGTAGACTGCAGGTCCAGCTTCTTTGTTTAATTTCTTTAGCAACTTTAATGCCTGCAAGTGCATTTCTTTTTTTTCCCTAAGCCCTTCCATTGTTTTTGAACCTAACAGGACGAAGGAATTCTTAATTATGTTCATGGCTAGAATACATATACCCAATCACTTAGTTTACCATATTCACTACTAACTGATGCATATTGTTGTAAGGAGTAAGGACAAATTGAGTGTGTTTGTGTGTGTGAGAGAGAGAGAGCTCATTATTCAGTTTCAAAATACGTGCAATCTGAAGAAAAGTATACCTAGCATAACCATGAAGAGCCAGTTCATACCTAGAATAACCATGAAGAGCCAGTTCAAGCAACTTCTCAATGCTCTGGGCATGCACATATGAAGCACACATGGTAAAATCCCCTCCAAAGAGGAGAATCTGGCAGAGGGATGCATCCCTGCTTGATTTTCGACATCTCCGGGGCTAGGAAGGCTATCATCTTCTTTGCTGGGAATACCTGTACCAAAGAGGGAGAGAGAGGAGAAGGGGGGAGGAGGGGGAAAAGATGAAGAAGAACAAAAAATTAGTCCTTGCGCCACTTAGCTCTGTTACTCTTCTAAAATGAAACATCACAAAAGACAGGAAATTAAAATTGTACAAGAGAAAGGTATTGGGATAATATGATTCTTTTCTTTGTTTTTTAATGATAACCACATGATTCATTAACCTCAGAAATTACATATAGAGAGTACGATTAAGAGAAGGATGTAACCACCAAAGAAGATTGGTGTACACCACCCTTAGCAAGAGAATCAGCTACATAAATTCTTGCTAACTAATACTTCAGTAATGTGTATCCATCTGAAGCTTTTGTATGTAAAAGTCCCACTAAATCAAAAGTATTGGTTTTGTGTCGAGATCGCCAAGATCCAGAGCCCTAGTCAGGTCTGATACACTTGGCTATGTTAGTCAGCGACTCAGCTGAGCCATATAAAATAAAAAATTAAAGTATTCAGAATAAACCATAGATTGGTTACCATACGTCTGGTCCATCAGGGTGCCTAGTGAGAGTGACAAGGGTGAGCCTGAGTAGATGTAGGGGATCTTGAGAACCCCTTAGCTTGCGGAACCGGAAATCCCAAATACCGAGATCCCATCCAAGATCGTGTACTCAATTGGCCAAATACAAAGTAGATAAATATTACTATAAATCGAGTACGAGAAATAAAGCAAACATAAAAAGCACACCACAATAACATATGATTTACGTGGTTCACTCTGTTGGGCTACATTCACGGCCTCAACAACTAAAAATCCACTATCACAATGAAGATTACAGTTTTTTGTTACAAGAGAATACTTATATCTAAATATCGATAAAAGACCATTACCGATCTTTCTTTCTAAACCCGCTCTTTAGACCAAGTAACACCGTCAATCAACATCCTCTTTCCCACAGCAATACCGCTACTGGAAAGATAACCTCATCGAGAGCAACCTAGAGATTTTCTCTCTCTAGAAGTAAAAGGTAATCAACTCAAAACTCATGAGAATTACTGCCCCTCTTTCAGAGGCCATGTCTCTCTCTCTTAAAGACCCATCTCTATATTGAAGATCCATTCTCATAACCCCCAAAGGGATTCAAAAGGATAGGTATTATATCTTCCTTCACACTCTTATAAAGATGTCACTATCTTGCTTCCCAAAAAAGTCAATTTTCTACTTTCCGTAATATCCTAATCTTTAAAAAAAAATGGATGCGGTGATTTAGCTATCACCAAACCCAACAGTGGACTTGTATGAGTTTTTTGCATTGGGCAAGAGTACTCCCAACTGCCAACAAGGTGGCGTCTGATCCTAAAACAGAACCACAATCCTCTTGTTAGTGGGCAACAGAACTGCTTACACTTATGATAACCCGGTGAATGGACCATTCACAAGAACATTTCTCGTAAACAAAGAACTTCTCAATTTTTTTGCTTATAACCATGAGATGGTGAATTTGATCAATCTGATTTTCTAAAACCATGTTAGTACTTTCATTAGGGACATTTTCTTATATTTATAATGGACTAAAAAATACCTATAAATAAATTTCTGCATTACTTCACTTCTAGCTCATCAATATCCAAAGTCCATTAGGCAAACATAATTATCTTATAGTATTTTGAATTTTAAATTTTTTATAAATCCAGTTCATTTGAAATTTGGGGCATATGTATATTTAAGCATCTCACACACAAATAAAATACTAAAAGTAATCTTCAAAAATAAAATGAGAAAATAGCCCTAAAATATTCATTAGGTAATTTTTATTAGTTGAATTACTTTCTTTAAACTTTATTTAGGTGTGGCACTCACAAAATTTTAAGTTAATATGGTTTTTAAAAAATAATAAAATTCAAATATTATAAGATAATCATGACCGTCTGATGAACTTTGACCAGTGATAAATAACAATTGAATTACTAAAAAGGTCTACTCATGTATATATTCTATTGTTACCCCAATATCATGTAAAAATCAAATTTACTCAAGCCTAATCGGTTCCAAGCCTAGATCAACCGACTAATGGACCTTTTCAAGTAGGTCCAAATCGGGCTTGACCTCGGCACAACTCAATCATTTACACCCACAAAGAACCTATAATTTTTTAAATTGCAAATGATGAACGCATGAAATGTAAATGCTTCATATTTTCATCATATAACTCTGGAATTGTCACGTCCGATTTCATCTTTTCTTTTCAACAGACTTGGGAATTGTCACGAGATGAGGAGACAGGAGACATAACTCTTGAAAGTAGAGAGAGAGAGGGAGAGAGTACATGAATAGATGAAGCTCTTGAAACCTCCTGGCTTAAATCCACTTTTAAATGCTTTAGGTGTTGCAGCAAGCATGTGCAAAGGTGAGGCACCTCGTTCATTTCTTGCCCCACCAAGACTTGAAAACTTCTCTAGGATTAACTCTGCCCTCTCTGCATATATGCATGTATACACGCACTTATATATATTATATAGCATTAGAAGACAAGTAATAAACTAGCTATAAAACCTTCTTCCCAATACACTTGCCATAAAACCTTAGCAGCAAAATGCCCAATGAGATACCTATTCATCCTATGTTTCTGATCCGTTTCCCCCCCTTTCCAACATGAAATTGTAATTTTAATTATTTTATTTTATCATATATATATATATATATATATATATATAGGGAAAAGTTTATATAGAGCCGATGCTTGAAAAATTCAAATTAGAGCCTACCTCAAAAATTTCACTAGATGCGGTTTTTTTGTTGCACAAATAACCTCAAATTGATCATCTCGACATCAAAATCTACGGACATAAGAAAAAAAATAGATTTCAAGTTTTTGGAAATAGTGTATTTTGTAATGTATTTTTGGACCGTCAGTTTTCAAGATTTTCAAGTTTTCATAGATTTGCCGATCTATAATATTTTTTAAGCTTTAAACTTTATAAATAAAGATGAAAATATATTTTAGGGCTATCACAAAGATTTCTAGTATTGAAAACACATTTCTTGATACTATTTGAAGGTAGGCTCTAATCTAATTTGATTGTCTAAAGCCTGGGCTCTATACAACCACACCCATATATTGATCAAAATACCCCCAAAATATTTCAGGGGTATTTTGGTCAATTTATTTCATGCAAATTATATTTTTGATATTTTTATTAAATTCTCTTTTTTTTTAAGAATACATACATAAAATTTCAAATTATTTGGATTTGTAGAAAAAAAATTTAAAATTCAAATACGAAATAAGGTCGTGATCGTTAGATCGGCTCAGATTCAATCTGGACCGTTGGGCTCATATGAACACATATGTTAGTAGGCTAATCTCAGCATTATATATATATTACAAAACACCTATAGGCGAAAATGAACAGTGATTTCACCTACTCTCATCACCATCCAAATTTCATCACACGATCACGATTATCCGGTAGTGTTTCATTTTTTATTTTATTTTTACAAATCAGAATGACCTGAAATTTGGAGCGTGTGTTCATAAAACATAAGCAAAGCGTGTGTTCATAAAACATAAGCAAATCTCCAAAAAATATCAAAAAAAATATTTTACATGAAAACAATTGATCAAAATACCCCTAAAACTTTTCGAGGGTATTTTGATCAATTGGTTTTTGTAAATTATTTATTTTATATTTTTACTAGGAGCACCTCACTAATATGTATACACGCTCCAAATTTTACGTCATTCCAATTGGTAAACAAAAAGAAAAAGAAAACACTACCGAAAAATCGCGACCATGCGATAAACTTTGGACGGTGATGAGGGTAGGCAAAATCACTATTCATTTACCCCTATAGGTGTTGGGAAGACTTTTTCCTATATATATATATATATATATATATATATATATATTGTACACACTTTCTCTTCATCCTCATAATCAATCCTACGAAAAAAAAATATTTCAATTTGCACCCTAGATATGGTCAAAATTAGTACCCATCCAACAATGAATCTCGACCATCCATTTGGTAAATTTCAAGATCGAGGCCTTAACAAATTCAAAATCATTTTTTTCTGTTTTAGCATTATTAAACTAATGATGATAAAGCTATATAAAAATTTTGGGAATAAAAGAAATCATTATGTGGCCTATATCTAACAATCTCAATAAAATGGACGTCTTATATTAATTGGGCTAGAATGAAAATTTTCTAAAGCATTTTTTCAAAATTTTCTTTTTTGTGCTTGTTCTTCAGAATGAAAAGAGTATATATTTAAAAATTCATGTCAAACAAATGTCTCTAACATGGTTTGTGAATATGGTTGCATTATACTACGCTACAACCGTTGTATGAAAT